TCCTTCTGGAAAGTTTGTGGCTGGCAAAGATCTAGCTGTTTTACCTTGATAGATTAACTGGAATAGTAAAACAGATCCATCCACTGTTTCTACTAAAGTGAGAGTCATGCCCCGTTTGTCACTTCCTCCTTTCTTCGCCACGTGTTTTGACTTGGTTTCTGCCATTGTTACATTCTCTGTTGTGACAAATTTTGACGGTAGTCGCAATTCTGCGCGTGAACCCCATTCTGGTGTACAGAGACTGCACCCACCATTAGTAATGCGAAATTCAAGGTTTTGGCCATATTTTGCCAGATCTCTCTTGATCAGACTTATCAGAATACCATACAAAACGGACAGACCAAACGTGAGTTTGGTACACGTTCGAAAGAGCATCAGAAAGCGGTCTTCTTTTGCAAAAAAAGGAATATTCAGCTTTGTCGGAGCACACCCGCCTAACTAACCATACAATTGGGTGGGATAATTCTAAAATTGTCACCTCTAATCGCCACTACCACCAGCGCCTTTCTATGGAAGCTTGGCATATCAACTCCACTCACGCTCCTTTAGTTCATGATGATGGTGGCTTACTACCTGACGCTTATTTACACCTCGTTAGAAAAAAAAGGGCAGCTGATTAGTCAGCATATAAAAGGACCTCTTGTTGCAACGATCAGATCATCCCTGATGAAGGCACTAGAAACATTGGGTCGATGAATTGTAATTCCCCGGTTACATTAGTTAAAGCTTTAAACCAGAGTAGCATCAGACTGATTGTCTACCTGGTTGCTGTGTGAACATTAATATGCCTTAAAGACAGATATATAGATTTTTCCACAAAAACTCACTAAAATCATTGTGAAAATTGCAAAGAATAAAACACTCGGTTGTGTTCTATAATGCTTTGTCTAACATCATTAAAAGATCCAAGATAGACCAAATCTTGTAGCTCTTCAGGACTCCTTGAACCTAGTGATCTGTGAGAATGAAAGAAGTTGAAACGATTAGACGAGGAAGTGCTAAAACACCTTGCTATTCTCTAACAATAGCAAAGTCAAAACCGTTGTGCGAAAGGCGGCTTTGACCTATACTAATTTTAAGAGATATATTTAATATACTTCAGGCACAGATGACTGCGCCAGCACGCCCTACAAGAACGGAGGATCTTGTACACATCAGGTTAAAGGATTTTACTGAAGTTATTGTGAGACAGGTAATTCAAAAACAGTTGTTTTAATTTACCAACCGCGTTCACCACGTCACAATTTTAGCCATTATCGTCAAACTACAAGGCGTCCAAACCCTTCAAAAAGCAGTGATTAAGAGTTAATGTTATAGCCTAATCCACGCTTCGCTGAAAGTCTATATAAAATGGTAATGAACAAAGCCTTGGTTTGCGTCCCTGTAACTTACGTCGATGAGAATACAGTATGAAAAACTCAGTACCAAAAATGGGTAGAATTAGGATTTGAGTGAGACGATCAAAAGAAAAGACGACTTCGAAAGTGTGAACGTATTTACCTTTTCGCCAACTTGTTAGCGAAACCTAAGTGAAAACCTTAAAGAGGGGGACATTAGGATCTTTGGTTTTGTGGTTTTGGCTATTGTATGGGACCAAAGTAGCGGTTTGTTGGTGTTTGCGACGGCTTGCCGCTACTGCCGAAAACTTAACTCGCATGAACTTAACAGATTTGTGTTTAAAAACAAACCTTACTGTCTAACTCTATTCTGGTTGACTTTAAATTTTTCTCGGGCAATTTGCTTCTTGGTTATCCTTCTTTCTTCTTCCCAAAATTGTGCTCCACGAGTCGAAGCAGCGAACCTTCTATAAAAAATTTCCGCGGAAATAGTTCGAAATGGCATTTCCGAGACCCTAGATTTCAAATTTTTGTGGGGGAGCATGCCCCCAGAGGCACTAGTTTGGGGCGCCTTCGGCACTCCCAATCTCCGCACTGTTCATACACCTTCGAAATCTCACGCTACGCTCTTGCTATATATGTAATTTAGTATAATTTCAGAGCTGAGCAAAGAGTTTCCAGCAATCTGATCCACTGCATGAAATGTCGAATATAAGGAGGTGTAATGAAGCATTATACGCCGTGTATACGGGACGATATACTGATGTATAAGGATTTTGTTGAATAAGGATTGTATACTGTTCAGTATATTTCTCTTTCTTATCCATGTGTGTACTGAAAATTACACTTTCCTTACACAAAGTGTAAGGTTAATTATACATTAATTAAATGTACTTAGAAAAAGCTCTTAACTGGATATATTTGGTGTGATATGATATCTTCTTGCCCACAGAAATTACCTATGGCAATATATTTGGCAAATTGGGTTGTTTGAAATGTCGAATATAAGGTGGTATAATGAGGCAGTATACACTCAGTAAATAATAATAATAATAATAATAATAATAATAATAATCATACTAACACTTTATTTAAACGTGATAAATATTTAAAGCCAGAGGCTTGTGGGGTCGTGTTATCAACTAAAAATATAAATAAAAAATGTAAGCAACTTCTTTTAAATAAAACCTCAATAGATATCCAACACTGCCAAGCCACCACCCCCAATCCAACAGACACCAACAGAAACCAATTAATTACCAATTTCTGACGACAAACGAAACAATTTACTGATATAAAACAGTTTAGATAGTTGAGGATATACTTGATATAATTGTCCTTATCCTTGTGTGTAATGAAAATTATACTTGACCGTACACAACGTAAGGTTTCCTGTTCAAGTTATTTCATTCATTTCAGCCATTGGGGTTATATTTGTTGGTAGGGTTACTGGTTTATTTAAACCATTCATGTACTTTGCATTGGCTGGGTTATTTGTGCTATCCATGCTGGTTGGATCATTTGAGCCAGATAAGTTATTTGTTACCTTTAGATTACTAGACACGCATTTGTATTACTTGACTCCTTTGTGCCTGTTTGAGTATTTTTGCCAAATGGCTCCTATATGTTGTTTGGGTCATTCGTACCTGTTTATCTCATAAGCAGAAGTATCATTTAGAGAGTTTGAGACATTTTGAGTGGCTATTATTAAATTATCTGAGTATATCCATAATTGCATGGCTATGGAAAGTTAGCAGGTTGGGAATTCTATATGGTTGCCTCTTTTGTCTGAGAAACATGTACCAGAAGACAATAGTGAGTAAATGCCTTTTGATAACCAAAAATATTTATTATTTTCCCTAATACTTGCACATCTAACAATAAACGACCAACAATAAGGAAAATGTGCAATTAGACATCAGGTGATGGAAGCATAGAGAGATGCATGTACAACTGTACACTATCATGATTTCAACAGGGTTACCCTTCACTCATTGACTTATCAGACCTACAAAGTAAAAACTTAACATTTCAACCCTTTAAGCCCAATAGTCTACTGCTACTGATAATWGGCTGATATTTTGAAGGGAAGGTTGAAGCTGAACACTTATTGGGCTCAAAGGTTAAGTTTTTTAGATGTTGCAAAATTTATAGTGAACAGTCAATCACGAAGGAGAAAGGTCTTGCCCTACATGCATGTGCCAATTTTGTTAAGACCTCGGTTTCAAGTGAAAAGTTCCGAAAAAAAGAAAAGAATATCTTTAAAGATGCAATTTAACATCAAGTGGAACAGCTACAATTACATTCTCTTTTCCATTTGGAGTTTTGAGATCATAGTACTACTCAGATCAGCCACAACACAAATGCTGTCAATCCTCGACACTGGCATGAATGCTCCAACAGTTTCAACTTCATATGATGGCAAACACACTTGAATGGGCAAACCAAAATAAAACCTTGAGTGTGGGTGTATTTTTTACCAATGAACACAAGCCAGCGTGTATGGGAGGTCTACAGTCTCACCACTTGGGAATCGAATAGTCACAGTGTGCTGAAAGAAATACTGTACAATTCCTGTTTATGAAGAAGGAAATATGCTTTAATAGTTGCACATGCAGTTCTTGCCAATTCATGCACAGGGTATGTACAGCATCATTGCCTTAGATGTTAGTTAGATGTTAGATGTTAACTGAAAGTGGTTTACTCAAAGGCAATTAGCCTAAAGCTAAAAACCAATACTTTTCCTAAACCAAACAAGTATTGACTAAGCAATCTCAAAAGTAATTTCAAAGTTTACCTTGTCTTAGATCCAACGAGTTTGGGTCCAATCCAATTGCACCCTGCCATCGTGCGAGAATGCAGGCAGAGCGTTCACTTCTACAGTATCGAGAGTCAAATCTCGGGTTATATAATTGCAACTGGGAAAATTGACGTGTAAATTTTGGCAAATAAACAATGCTGTCTTCTTTATGCAGGTAACTGTACATTTGTGTTAGTAAGTCAACTTCATCATATCATCACCCATGTAAACATCCTTGTAGGGAGGGAGGGCTTGAGTGAAATGTTTATCCACAAATGACAAGTGAAAAAGATTAGGTCCAGTGTAACCTTTCAAAATAAGGCTTTCTCTATAATCAGCTGAGGAAAGAGCTTTCTCTTTGGCTAACACCAGAGATCCTTTGGAAGTGGTTGATAACATCTCTTTGAACCCACTGAATTCTCCTGGCCAGGAAATGCTACCCAGCTGATGCCGTTCAAGAAACTTCCTCATCAATTGCACCTCTATCTGATGATTGTTTACATGTAGTAATCCTAATATTCCATTGTAGCGCTCAAATGAGAAGCACCAGAAGCTGGACACAGGGCCAAAATCAAGAATGCTTTCACATAGATGACAATGGAGATGCATATTTGGTGTAATAACTGATAAACCATATAATTTCTCCACAGATTGACAAAACTTTACAATCAGTTCATCTGCAAGTCTGACCTGTGATATTGGTATTATGAAAGAACACAATATTCTGGAAACTTTTACAAACAATTTCCAACACTGCAAATGCCTGTCTGGGAGGATGTCTTTTAGAGCAAATGTGGAAAATACCAGAGCCCAGTTTTTAAATTGGTCTGTAGTGAAACCTTTGAAGCTTGATGCTATTTTCGATGGAATTCGACCAAAGGGCAGAAAGCTCTGTTAACAAGAGGTGGCAGCGAACGAATTCAAAAGTAGGGGAGGAGGCCGATAAAGAGCCACCAGTTGGTACGCCCAAGTGGGCTCTCAATGACGAGTAGAGGGCCCATCTAAAGCAAGTAGAAGAGGATGAGGCGGCACAGAGGTCTATTAAATGTTTAATGCACTTAACTGTTGAAAAAGGTGTTAATATAAAAAATATTGAAAAGACGCCTATTCATGTGTATCTTTCATCAAAAGCAAAAAATGGTTATTTAGTAATCATGGCCTCCATTCTAGAATTAAATTTCGGAGTTGAATGGGAAATTATTCATATGACTGATGCATGAAGTGACCAAAACCTAGAGGAGGATTTACTGTGCATTCTAACTAATAACGCTTTCGATTAAACTTTTCGTGCTTCAACGAACTAACCACATTTTTCTGTATCGTCTACAGAGACAATGATTCAGGACAAAATGAAGCGGACGACTCTGGGGACGAGCAAGAAGACAGACACGAGGAAGGCAGCTCAGACGAAGAGATAGAGATTGTGTAGCTCACCGCAAGTTTTTCGAAAATTGCCTTCAAGTTTCGTTTCTTTTTCTTTTGTTAATCTTTCATTTTCTGGAGTTCCTGATGAGAACGATGCATGCGCATGGTGCCGCTAAATTTAAATAAAATAATTTCACTCATGAAAACTTGCTTCCTTAATTTGTGTCATTTATAATACGCATTTATCTCAATTCAACACTCTATACTCCTTTCTGGGTTCCAAGGTTCAATGAATTTTTCTGCTTTTTTTAATATTTCCATATCATTACGTCGATACCCTGCTCGGCCGGGAGGCAATAAATCCAAACACAAATATATCGATTCGTATACCCCGTAAATATCCCGGGATTCATTCGTCTTTAAATCGTCTCCGATATACGTATACGCTGCTTTGTATCCTTAGCTGTAAGGAATTCAACATGAAGTATAAGAACCCGTACATCTGCCGAGTGTACATACCAGTATATCGCATGCCACACACAGTATTCATGATGTCTAAGGGCATGAATACTGAGATATAAGGAATTATACCACCTGTGTACACTGTCCTAGTATTTTCTTAGCATACCCTGACGTGTGCTGGTCATTATACGGACCTTACACATCCATATATTTACCGTATACAATTGCGTATACTGACTTTATACACCCCAAGGAAGGGTCCTTATACAGAGTATTTTATGCAGTGTGATTGGTCGAGCGGTTCCTTATATGATGCTACGTAAACCGCTCCACGCGGTTTATATAAAATGTTAAAATAAAATGTTAATAAATGTTACTAAAATGTTATGAGTTTAGAAATTTCTCTGTTGTTCACCTCTGAAATATGCTAAAACAGTTATTCGCCTCAGGTTCGGTGAATATAGTCGAATAATCCCCTCGACCTCGTCTCGGGGATTATTCGGCGATATTCACCTCGCCTTTGGCGAATAATGGTTAAATATGGCTCGTTTAGGACGATACAGACTTAAAGAAGACTTACAGTCGTAATACACTTAGAATACGCGATATCTACGCCTATGATAAATTGGAAATTCGCCATCGGTGAGGAAGATCATGACTAATTACCATGAGCGTCTGTTCCATGGCGGGGAAGCAACGAAAAAGAAAAAAAGAGCGTTTTAAGGCGATTCACTCTTATTGGACCATTTTTATTTACCAAAAATTTCACTAGAGATGAACAACAAAAGTATCGTCATACAAGTATACAATGAAAGCAAGCAACAAGGCAAAAAATATCTTAGTTTACTACTCAAAACAACTGTGGCTTTTATGTATTTGATTTTTTTTTTTTTACTTACTTGAAGGAAACCCGAAAAAAGCCTTGGTTTGCGTACTATTTTCTGATCGACATAAGTTACAGGGTTGAAAAACTCCATACCAAAAATAGGTAGAATTAGGCTTTGAGTGAGACGATAAAAAGAAAAGACGACTTCGAGATTTGAGTTTCAGTGAAGTATTTTACAATGAAAAAACTATCTCTTGACTTATGAAGCGCGAAAACCGCAGATAGTTTTATCTTAGTCCGAAAGCTCATAGTAAGTGCTATAAACTTATGACAGTGATGACAAAATCTATCACCACAGCAAAACCATGTTGCTTTTCTTCTTATTATCTCTCTCTTATATTTGAAGACATTGATGAGTGCAGCGATGACGTACATAATTGCGATGTTAATGCGGACTGTACCAATACTGAGGGTTCTCACAATTGCACCTGCAAGAAAGGATACACTGGAGATGGAAAGTCGTGCCAAGGTCGGTACATTAGACCAGCCCTAGATGATTCAGAATCTGAACAGGTTTCGTC